TCGTCACGCGTGCGCTGTAAACGAGGCAATCGTTTACTCCTTAAAAACTTGCTTTTCAAACATGACGTTGACCAAACGTGTCTGTGCACGTCAGTCGTGCAGCAACTTGTTGAGGATGACGCCAATCTCGGTGCCGGACCTTGTTTCTCGTGTGTTTTCGGTTTAACCTCGGCTTGGTTTTTTAGCACCTTCATGTAACTACCGATCCTGTGCCTGATCAAGTAAAATTGTCTGTCTGTATAGAGTTACACTCTTTAATTACCTTTTATTGCAGATCCATAGTCCAAACGAAGAGAAGAAAGAACTATTTAAAAACTTTATCTTCAAGTTGTTGGAAGACAATCGTTATGCTTTTTTTCGGCCTGTGCAAACGAAACACTTGCGTCTATACTTTCTGAATTTCTCGGACAAACAATGTGTAAATAAGTATCTGTTCAAAACAGTGAACTGAAGTCGATCTTAAAAAAAACATCGAAATGATTGCTCAAGACTATATCTTCTATATGAGACTGAGCAAAAAACTGATTTTCTATCTTGATGCAATTTTTTGTTAGACCACAATTTGATTGACATTGATTATTTCCTACTATAAGTGTTTACATTTTATTTTTTTAAGGGAAACTGTTTGCTAAGTTTCGGTTTTGATTGCTTTGTTCTTGTATTGTAGTTTATTTTTGTCAATGTTATCCGCGTTTGAGTTTGATGCAAGTGTCATACTTCGATAATGGAGATTATAATCCTTGCTCACAATTGTATGGAGTTGTTTATCGCCACGGTCAAACTTGGGGTGTGGCATGCCACACCCGACGGTCGTATGTAGGGGTCAGGGAGGGAGGCGGGGTTATTGAAGTGATTCTGATGTAGCGATAACATAATATTCGTTAACGATGTCAGATAGATCCATTATGCAAAATACTAACACATCTATCTATTAGCCACCATCGTATACATATAGTAAGCGATGGTGGCCAAAAATAATAATAAAAGAACTCCTAGAAGCATAAGAGCATTTTTTTGTTATGAGCATGTCAAATAACTCCACTGAGCCAAGTTTTAGGGATTCCTGAGCCCAAATTTTGGGCCGCAGAAGTAAGCTGGTCATTTTTTAACATCTTGAAATTGTTTCAAATCTTAAATTAACTATTATACTTTTTGCGCTTAATTCACGTACTACTACTTCTTTGCTCACATTAGGAATCCCATTTCAGATAACGTCTAATTCAAGGAATTAAGAGCAAGCCAAATCTTGTTTATTCCAATTTCGCTTTCAATATTTCAGACTAGAAAAAACTATCAGGCTCAAATCGCTTTTGTGTAGATTAGGAGATTTAGACTCTTACAAATTCATTCTCGTCGCATTCCCTCGCAATTCAAGTAGTAGCGCACGCATAGCATGTTACCGTAACCCGATATTTCCGCAGTATTTTCTATTTGCCTAAGTAAGGAAAAAGTGCTATAACTTTACCTAGAAAAAACGATTTCGAATGAGTGCCTGCTTTGTAGAGGAGAAGATTAAGCAGTAAGAAAACACAATAGTTGCGTGCTTCAAATGGGTAGTGGCACAGTCCCTAAAAAGGTTTGGGAGCCACAGCTTTTCTGGAGTCGTGCCATTTCCGTCCATTGACTTACCTCCAAAAAAGTTTTAGCGAACAAATTACAAACATTGTCCAACTTCAGTTGTTTATTAATCTTGCATCGATAGTTGATAATCGTTTGAGCTTGCTGAGCGTCGACCAAGATATTAGCCACACTTTATTCACGTTTCGGCGGGATCGCCTTCGTCAGAGCCTAGAAAGTCTGCACATCCCAGCAAGCTTATAAAGGCGGTTATAAAGAACATGTATCAGACAGCAGCAAAAGTGTCTTTGGGCATGCAAGAGCGAATCTACCCTATAGGGTTAGCTATCAAGTAACTAAGTTTAATGGGTATTGGTGAGCCTATCTCAAACCCTCGCGAGTTTGTAGGACGCAGAGCCAGTTCCAGCAGCCCGGACGCGTCACTTATTGAAATTTCTTTCTGCTTGCTGTTCGTATCGGATAAGATAAGAGCGGCAGTGCGGCGATGCGCACATCTCGCGGTTTGCGAGACGATGTCAGGGTGGTCGATATACTACCCTCGAACCTAAAGCGTCAATTGGTCAGAAATCGATCTTACGATTGTACATGCCTAACTCCAGCTTTGTCGTTTGCCCATTTGGCAAAGAGGGTGATTGCATGATCTCCGGGGTTATCTATCTCATCACATGCTTATCGTGTGGTGATACGTATACGTATACCGGAGAAACAGGACGAACTCTTTGCTGCCGCGTTAAAGAACATCTGGATGGGTCGAACGAACTGAAAGCAGTTACGCCGCTAGGCAGCCATTGCATTTCGTGCCATGAAAATGCTGACCTTCATTCGAGCGACTATATTTGCGTACGAGCCCGACCTCCTAGCGCGCCAACTTTGGAAGCGTCTGGATCGCCAAGAATCCAAAGATGAACCGGAAGGAAGAGTGCATAGCCATCACCAATGAACTGGCGCCATATCAATACCTCTGTGAGTTTTGATATGAGGTCAGGTCACCCAAGCGCTATAAATAGGGGAGGAGGTATAGTCTGAGTATATGGTGGTCATCATAACACATCATCACACGTTATTGAAGGTGAGTCTTGGTTACCCGATCTCCCTTTGCCTTTGCTTCTCTCCAATTTGAGTATATGGTGGTCATCATAACACATCATCACACGTTATTGAAGGTGAGTCTTGGTTACCCGATCTCCCTTTGCCTTTGCCTCTCTCCAATTTGACTTTCGTCTTGAGCTGGAATCTTGGCGTCTAGGAGGAAATTTCACTTATGTTTTCGACTTTTTGGGCTCTGACGAAGACGATCCCGCCGAAACGTTGGCCGTGAATAAAGTGTGTGTAATATCTTGGTCGACGCTCAGCAAGTTCAAACGAAAATTACAAACACTTCTATAGCCAGAATTTCGTAGTTTTCATAGGAGTGATAGAGTTTAATCCGTCTTCTATCGTTTGAGCTGTAGTCGCTAAAAGCACAACCACTATAAGCGAAAGTGGGACAAATGAGATTTTGGCTGGCTCTTATTTTTGTACTTTGATGGTTCCTGAAAACAAGATTTATGACGTGGGCAAAGACAGATTAGAGCTTTGTAAAGAGTACAGAAAAGGTAGCTAATTCACTTTCAAAAAAAGTTCATATTTGAAAGTAGCCACTTCACTTAGGCGGCCCAATATGAGAACCCCAGAATTTGCTGAAACTTGGCCCACAGGGGTTATTTGACATAATAATTACGCATATGTTTCTGATTTTGGTTGGTAAAAGACTTTATGTCATCCGACGGTGGGCAAACTAATGCTGGAGGAGGGGGGAGGGGGAAAGAAAATAGTATTGGGCAAAAATTAGGGTGAATCGTACCCAGAGGTTGTGTGCCACACCCCCTGCTCGACTTTGTTCATTGCTGTAATGGACACTCTTCCTTATGGAACTATTTGACTTTTGTTTTAATTCGAATCTTGTACATCATTTGTGTTTGCTACTGCTCAAAGCACATGTATGTCAACGCAAAATGCAGCTCAACCGTTATGCTCAAGAAAGCGCTATCTTTGAGCAAGCAGATCATTGCTTTAGAAAATTGCGAGTAAAAAACCATGCTTATCCACTATGAGCATGTGCTGCATAATTCCCACATTTTCCGCACAATCACCACTTTTTTCGAGTAGGGAAATAGGATTGCATTCTGTCAAACTCTTACCACTGTTTTTCAGAGATAAAATGTAATCTCTGGCAAAGTCTTTTTTTGAGGATTTGGTACCCCTTCGTGCCTAGTGATCCATACAAATGAGAGCGGAAACCCTAAAAAGGCGTAAATTATTGCACCTTTTTAGAATTACGTGTATGTGGTGGTACCATATGGATGTAAGACCTCCCTTAAGTCCTTATCAGAAACAGACTCTAGTTATTCGTAGAACGATGGAACTGACAGAGTTGTGGTATTGCAGGCAAGTTTCTGTGCTTGACTTATTTGAGAATGAACACCCTTATTTGAAATGTTCATATTGAAAAGGTGTGAAAGAGGGAGGGGGGGGGAGTGTGGAAAAATTGCAAATAAAAAATAGAAGCTTCCTAACAAATTTCAAATTCATAAACTTTGGTTTGATTTAAAAAAACAAAATCAAAGTGATACTGCAGTCCTAAACACACTAGTGGAGAAGGAAACGTCAGAAAGGTTCTACTGTGAATTGTGTATAAGCCACGATGTAAGCCACTGCCTGCCGAATGTTGCCATTATATGTAATAAAGAATATACGGGAGGTATTTTATAAGCGGCGATGCAAATTATTACAGACTCGAGCAAATGGATTCAAGAGGGGGTAATTTCATATGCCAATCGCGACATTGATACTCATTTAACTAGAAGCTTTCTATTTTGAGCTTAAGCCCGTCGATGGTACGATTTTTTACCAGTCGAACGCCAACATCGACACCAGCAAATCCCGCTAGTTCTGACAAGCCAATTCTTCGTCGTTGACATATTCTCAGAGCAGCTTGGAGGTCCAGGCTTTTGATTTCGAAGCCCGATCTGACACTTGAAGTTCTGGCTGCTTTTAAAGTTCAGTAAGTCAAACTTTAGTGACGCATTGTCTACGAGTTCGTATAAGCCTGATTGCTTCTAGAACCTAGATTGCTTCTAGAACCTAGATTGACCAGTTTTTTGCAGAATGTGTAGGACATTTCCATCACTGTACGTATTCAAATTCATCATAGTTAACACAATGCCAAACTTTTAGTGCACCACACGTTGCTAACCCAGACACCCTTACCCAAACAAATTTGTTGAAATCGACTGTTTGTTCTTGGCATGCCGAGTTCTACTTCTGAAGATAAAAAAAGGAATAATTAATGATGTCCTAGAGTTAAGCGTAATGAACCATACGCCATCAAATACAGAGTTTGGGGTCTCGTCAATTTGAAGGCAGTTTTCTCCGTTTATTTCCTCGTTGTTATAACAGACCATGATACATCGCTACAAGCACTATTGCTGCACTTTGATCAATGCTCAAGAAGCGTGTGGAGTAATCTCTCAATGATTTTAGTGTACTGTGGTCGTAGCAATTCGAGACCAACTGTTGTCAGGTGAGCCCCATCTCCCAAACGTGCGAGAAATGTCTGCGGATCGTAATAGTAGAAAAGACCATCTTTGAAAAGAGCCTGAAATGGATCACTATCAGCATTCGACGAGGCTTCACAGTGCGTGTTCTTTTCATCCTCAAGGATCCGCCAAAGTGCCAAATGGTTTGAAATTCAAATAATGCTTGCGGATTAACTCGATTTCAATAGGATTTTGCCTAACAGAATATCTAAGACAATTTTATCCATGTGATTACACACTCTAAATCAACTGTACGCTCCTATACATTGTTTTTGAATAAATAAACGCACTTGCGCAGATTAGGCACTCTCTCTGATGACAAAAGGCTTACCTGTCAAATTCCGGAACGAGATTGACAACAAATGAGAGTTTTTTGAAACAGAAAATTAACCATAATATGTAGCAATAACAGAAGCAATAAAATATTCCGCTATTTTAGTTTTGTTTTGCTAGTAAACAACTGTCGAAGACTGCAGATTGTTGAATATTCAAACCAAATAGCGAAGCAGAGTTTTGAGAATAAATAAGAAACCCTGCCCTTGTTTTTCCTTTCAAAGCCTTTAGACCCATTACATCGCTCCGTTTCCATTTGATCTTTAACCTCATACCCAGGGTTGAGCGTGGGGTCAGGCGCGCCTGACCTGGAGGGTCGTAATGGGGGTGGACCGAGGGCGGGGGGTCGTATTTGGGGGAAGGATCATAAATCGTCTAAAACTATATGAAATGTAGTACAGATCTTCCAGGTGCACTGGTAAAGAGCAAGTCATCTCTCTTCATTATCGTTGCTTTCATTAAGTTCTTATTCTACTAGGTCATTCGGAAAGTTTTTTCGCTTTTTGCGCATTTGATGTTGGTGCCATGTTTTAAGAGAGTGCCAAAGGGCTGATAGGGGTTACCATATATGAAATTGTAGAGGAAGTCTTCTAGTTTCTTGGGATCTCACAGAAGTTGCAGAAAACGCTTTGTAGGGGAGTTTACATGGCTATAAATTTGACATATGAAAACGCGATTTTCGAATAACTGCACTTTTTAAGCTCAGTCTTGAGTGTAAGGCAGTCAAAAAAGCCATCATTGTGCGCAATGCATTTGCTAAGGCCACGTCTTCCTTGACGTTGGTTGAAGTCTGCTTCCAAAGGTCCAGATTTAGAGAAGTGAAAGCTAATGTTCTGCACTTTTCTGGAAGGTGTTCCTGCCATATAAACGAGCATATCAAAGGGTCCTTCCAAGCAAATCGCAATATAACTGCATAAAACTATGAGCAGGCCTTGTAGTGTCATATAGCCCTATTTGAAGCCACCATCGCTAAAGCTGAAATACCAAAAAATATTAGTGGCATACACCTCACAAGTCGTCGCACTCGCAGATTGAGGGGGCGTTGGCTTTGCTTTCGTTCTTCATAATTTGACGGGGCAATTCTTTTATAGCCTGGATTGATAATTATAACAGCAAATTGGCCATGTACAGCTAAAAGAAGCAACAATGTGGTAAATCATTTGAAACAAGCATTGCAAGCATGGCCATAAACAATAAGTCATTACAAAAGGTCGATGTACTCAAATTAATGTAATCCTGCTAGTCTTGCACGCTATAAATCTGCTAAGATGTGATTGTGGTGTAAGAGCAGAGTAGTATGATATCGCTCTAGAAACCGTTTGTCAAAATTTCAAAACTGAGCAGACTTGCACGTATGATCTATGAAATGTGCCATCCTCGCCCATGACGCCGTCAAACCACATGTAAGAAAAGTGGTCCTCACAAAAGGGGTTGACTGCGTACCGAGGTTACTGTCCATTTTTCAAACTCTATGGACCTTCCTTTACCAGCCACCAAATTCTCCAATTCTTCGGTGCCTATTAAAAAATAATAGGACACAATAAAAATTAGCTTGTCAAAAATACCTTTTTAGGTTTTATTGATTCCCCTAAAATGAGTTAGCAAGAAAAAAGCACAAGAACATCACAATAATGTTATCAGTATTCTGCTGAACACAATGAAATTTATTTTTAAAAAATTGGATCTGAAAAAAGTTGTGCTCGTTTGAATTTAAAGGTGCGAAAACGAAAAAACTTTCCGAATGACCTAATAGTTGAGGTGAGAAAATTACAAACATTGTTATTAAGTAAGAAACAGTAAATGAACTGATGGAAAATGGTGCAAAGCTATGTAAGTTCTCGCATCTGAAAATCATATGTGCCAGTCTTGCTTTATTTATGAGACTGCTCGCCAGCCGTCTGTTGCTTCGGCTGTCAACGAGAGCTTGAAGGATTACTGGATAAACGCGAAGTATATTAGAAATAGAACTGGCAAGAGATCTGATTGAGATAACATTGATCTGACTGGACTTACCAAACCTACCGTATGCCTACCGTAACCCCACCAAAGGTCTCATACCAGCGAAGTGGATGCTACTTTCGTGATTAGCATGCAAAATAACACTTTGTGGACCCTTTATATAATTTTCTATAACAATTTTCCATCTTATCTAATGTCTGGATGACGCTGTTTTCAAACATGATTAACTTGATTTCAACGATCAAAAAAGTCAACCTTTTTACACTTGTTGCAAAGTATTCTCTTCTTTAATATATCCTATCAATTTCGTCTCAAACCACCCTAGAGTAATTGTTTTATAAGCCCCATCAAAACTTCGACAATGGCGCTTTTCACCTCGACTGGATTTACTGCGTGAGCTCCTAGGAAACTAAAACAAGACGAATCTGCTTCACACATCTCGTACCACATTTACGATGTTTGTGCTAACGACGAATCATATCAAACTTCTTCGGGAAAGTTGCTTTTGAGATGAAGTTAATAGGGTCAGGCGCAACCCCTCAAAAGCTCAGGCCGCCTGAGCTTTTTCATTAACTTATCTTCAAACAGCTCAAAACTTTCCATTTTTTCACTCAAACTTTTTAATGGTCCTTTCTCTTCCCACCGCTGAAATTTTATACGATTTCATCACCTCTCGAAAAAACTATCAGTGGTTAATCCTACTCATGTGCCGAAGACGACTGGTCGTAAATCCTCCCTTATTTTCGTCCTACTGTAGGTACGCATCTTGTGCAAAGTTTCTGCACGGGGGATAAGAACTGCGGCAAGCTCGATTTTTCAAGCGGTCGTTCCATTTCTTCGTCGTCACAGGAGGGCCGACTCCAGTGTGGAGTTTTACTTTACTTTCCTTTTCCTACATGGAGACCGGAAGATTAGTCTTGTGACATTCGCATATTCTACTCGAGTGCTTTTTGTCCAGTTGCTTGAAGAAGTCAAATGGGTGAAATCGTCGAAAAGTTCGAATCATGTGCCGTAAGTTTGCTTTGTCTTTTACTTGGCTTCTTCCTGTTTATCGTTTTCCTCATCCTGGGTTTTTAATTTTTCCTTTGCAAGCAATTTGCTACCTTTTGTATCAACAGTCGCAATTTCTTATCAAAACTGCTGACTGTCTAGTAGCAATCTGCAGAGAGGAGCTTGTGGTTGCTCGTCTTTCTGCCTTCCAAGCGACTTTGCTGTTGATTTGCTAACCAAGGTATGCATACTCGTTTGGTTCACGGTATAGGCCTACAATGCAGAATCTGTGTAGTTTGCTCATCTTCACCTTCTTGTTATGATTCAAGAACGATTTACTCTGAAACCAAAAATCTCCTCAGTGAATGAAGCAAATTTTGCTGCACTAAATCAGCTTGGATCTGTTTATCTTGCTTTTTTATTTCTTTTGTATAAGGTGATTTGTAGGTTTTGCAATATCGGACATCAAAGTTGCTTCGTCGTTGTTTCCTGTTATCGAAGATATTGTTGTAAAGAACGGCAAGGTAAATTTCTTGTACTTCCTGCGTTTTTTTTCAACTTTTGAGACATTTACAGCTCATTCTTACCATTCCTGAAGAGTTTAAAGTGCATCTGACAGTACTCGGTGAAAGAAAGTCAATTCAGTGGACGCTTTTGAATATAAATATGTTTGTCAAGAGATCGTTATGGCGCCAAACTCGTGCGTTTTTTGCAGCTGTATATGCTACACAAATGCTGCAGTCTAGGACGGACATTGCGAAGAATATTGGTGTTGTCTTTGCAGCTTTCCTGTCCCTCAAGTTTGTTCTTTGGTCGCATTACTATATTTAGCTTTGAGAGTGAAGACGCTGTATCAAAGATGTGGCATTATCCGACTGCACCGGATCTTGGACAATAATACGATAGAACAGGGTGAGGAGATCTATGCATGTTCCTTCTGAAGTTTCGGTTGTCTTATAGGCGCCTTTCGAATGATTGTCTTTTGTCGGAAACAATAGTCGTACGCTGTCATAAAAGGTTGTTGCGAATACGAAAACCATTAAAAGCAGCAAAGGCTCTGTCCATCGTGCTCTATGCCGGTAACTATATGCTTGAGGTAAATCGATTGAGATTGCTTTGCAGGCTTTCCTTTTCCGAGCCTTTGGCTACCACTTCTCCGTTGTGATATCTGTAAATATGTTCACGCGTGCTCTGCAGTTTGAACGCAATAGGTACTCAATTTCGAAATCATACTCTCAAGTTGGCTTTTTTGCTCAATATTTGCTGCGTTTTCAATCAAGTCTTGTTTGCATTTTTTGCAGCTGAAAGATGGTTCTGGAGGAGTTACCACCTCCGTGTTGCAAATGATGCGTTGGATCCACATCTTCGACAAGGTTCTCCTGATGAAACAGAAGCAAGGTCAGTATCATTTATTTTTGAGAAGATCATCTACTTCTTTACGTGAAAACATCTTCTTGCACTTTTTATTTTTACATTACTTTTTTACATCTACACTTGTGTTTGTGGGTCGAGCAGATGCACCCGGAACGGCCAAAGATTGTCGGCAACGGTTGTCGAGGTTGCCGCGCTGCCGTGTTGCCGGTTGTGGTGGGACCACATGATAGCCTTCACGTTTCGGCGCTTTTTAAGCTGTCTCTGACCCCGGCAACCTCAGCAACGTCGGCAACGCCAGCAACCTCGACAACCGTTGCCGACAGCATGACCGTTCCCTTAGGGAACGGCCATAGGTTGTAGGTGTTGTCGGTGTTGTCGTTGTTGTCGGTGTTGTCGATGTTGTTGGTGTTCTCGGTGTTGCCGAGGTTTCCGGTCGCTGTAGGACCTCATGACAGCCTCCACGTTTCGCGCATTCTCTAAACTGTCTCTCACCCCGACAACACCGACAACCCCGACAACACCGACAACACCGACAACCTATGTCCGTTCTTTTGAGTGCATCTGCTCGATCCATCAATACAAGTATAGATGTAAAAAAGTAATGTAAAAATAAAAGGTGCAAGAAAATGTTTTCAAGTAAAGAAGAAGATCATCTTTGCAAAAATGAATGATACTGACCTTGCTTCTGTGTCATTAGGAGAACCAAGAGAACCTTGTCGAAAATGTGGATCCAACGCATCATCTACATCACGGAGGAAAAAACACGTTCAATGAACAAAATTGCAGGACAGAAAAGCTGCAAAGGCAACACCGCATTCTTCGCAATGTCCTTAGACTGCAGCACGTTGTGTAGCATTTTCAGCTGCGAAGAATGCACGGGTTCGGCTAAATAACGATTTCATAGTCTTTAGCAAGCATTTTATATTCAGAAGCGTCCACGGAGTTTATTTATTTATTTATTCTTTACGTTCTAAGGCGTGCTACAAAGTAAGACTAAAGGAGCAGTTGAGATACACATATTCTTTAAAGAAACACAAAGTATATATATATTTACAATAAAACATATTCAATTCAGGTCCAGTTATAAATTAATAAAAATTACAAGCACTAAGGTTTTGCCCAAGCAGACACTACCAGGAAATATAATTCGACGGAGTTTGTACCCATGCCCTCCTCCAGCAAAAACGACCCTGGGAATTCAGTAGAAGTATGCCGGAAGTTCGGAAAGCGAGTATACTGGCCGCCTCGCTCATCCGACATGCTGGAGGAGAGTGCCAAACTCTACAAAATGTGACAATCTAAGAAAGAAAAAGAAACTTCAGGCAAGTCATTTTGAGCTGACCTTGTGCAAATGTGTTTGAAAAAAAAAACCAGACCCAAACCAGTTACGTAATAAGGTGGGTGATAGCCTACAAAGTAGGCTTATTGATGGGAGGGAGGGTTTTGTTGGCTGTTTGCAGTTGGCTCTCGTCTCTCGTCCTACGAGTACAGTACTGTCAGATGCACTTCAAACTCTTCAGGAATGGTATACGAGCTGTAAATGTCTCAAAAGAAAAAAATCGCAAGAAGCACCAAAGTCTAAATATGACTTTGGATTCGGTTTTTTTGAAACCTGTGCACTTAATGAATTTTTTGTAATAGTAAGAGTGTACATAGAAAAGAAATGTGCAGAGGTGGGTGGGGAGGGGGGGGGGGGGAGATGGGGGGGTCGTATCTTAGCATCAACACAGGGGGGGGGGTCGTATTTGGCAGCCTTGCGCCTGACCTCTTGCTCAACCCTGCTCATACCTCGTTGACATCGTTCATTATGCAATTGTCGCATTTCAGTGAGCCCAGTCGCAACTTCTGGTTATGTATCTGCTTGTCGCATTGCTGGAAAACAAAAATGAAGGAAGAAAGAGCTGAGAAAAGCTTGAAACATGCCTGCCACGTAGTCACAAACTCATCACCGGGAAGAAGACCTAGCTGAAGTTTCCTAGCAAGAATTGCGCCAATGCCACGCCATTTGGATATGCAGTATGGTATGTCGATCACAATATGTCTTGAGAGGTTGCTTGAATCAATTCAAAATTACTTAGGTTTGCTTTGATGAGAAAACTATAGTGAACACCATAGGTGCGAAGGGGGAACAAGGTCCCTTCCAGGTGAAGAGGGTTTGGCTATTCCTGACCTAGAAAAGTGAAGTGGGTAACTGGGCCTGAGATGAATGCTGAGCAAGTTTACATGTCTAACGGGAGCAGGAGTGAAAAGAAGGAAAATAAGTGGTAGAGAGGTGTAACATAAAAACTTCCTCAATGCTTAGGCTTTGGAAGGTCATCCAGCAGAGACTTTTTTGACTCAGCATAGCTTTGTGTTTTATCAGTCGACATAACATTCGAAAGCATGGAACATACAGAATCAACGTAGACCGTCTCTTTTTTTCCAGCTCTCCTGTGAATTCAGATTAAAAAAATCATATCTAGCTCCAGCATCAGCTGATTTTATGCAATCACTTTAAGCGCTAATTCTGAAAGAAAGAGAAGAGCTAGGAAAAGAGCGACAGTTTTCTTTTACTGGCGAAGTCTTGCTCTGTAATATGGTTAGACAACTGGGCATTTTCTATCACTCATTGCGTGAAATTTTTTTTCAAAAACACATGTTTTTAGCTAAAATGCTATGTATCTCTGGATAGAAGGGAGCTAGAGAAAAAGAGATAGTCTATGTCGAATCCCTGTTTTGTTAAAGGCAGTGTCCCACCAGACTGGGGGTATCTGGCTCTCGTAGTAATGTAATAGTAGACCCCCTACCTAAGCGATTATCAAAGTTCAGAGCGAAAAGGGGATCGAACAAGCCTGAAATTTGCTCCGAAAGTGGCCCGAATCTTACGGTAAGCTCAGGCGAATACGCGATGGATGCAAGGTAGAGACGCAGAGTCGCTGCGGGACCCTGCGCTCATAACTGTGTGCGCTATAGCACTCTGGCCTTGCAATCGATATTGCTGTGTGGGCTGCATTCGGGCCTACGTAAGATTCGGGCCACCTTCGGAGCAAATTTCAGGCTTGGTAGATCCCCTTTTTCGCTCCGAACTATAGATATCGATTAGGTAGGAGGTCTACTACTACATTTCTACGAAAGCCAGATATCCGCAGTCTGGTGGGACACTGCCTTTAAGCTTTCTAAGGCTTTATAGGTTGTTAAGCGAGAAAATTAGTGGCTTTTCAAAAATGAGGTGGAGATAATCAGTACTTACTTGCTCCACCCCTCTCTTGCTTTCTATGGGTCGCCGGAGCAAGACTTTTTTGGAGGCATCCTGAGCGTAGTATGAAAGAACCCTAAGAACACGAGGAATTCATGTAGACTGTCTCTTTTTCTTTAGCTTTTTTTGTGAAGCGAGATACGAGCAGTTTTATCTAGCTACAATCTCAGCCATTTCTGGATTCATCAGAGCTTCATTTTTGAAACCAAGGTAGTCTTTTTCAAAGTTTTGTACATGATTCGAAAGCTAGAGTTACGTATAATGTATCATTCTTTCATATGCTATTATTCACTCTAGTGAAAGGAGATATGGTACGATTCTTGTCAGTAAACATGCATCCACCACTAGCTAGTCAGATTTTCCACTCTTGCTCAACCCTTTCTTGCAACAATGTGTATTTATTGATACAATATTATAATGCAAAGAACCAGTCATCCTTTTATTTTTTGATTATGTTTCGTTATCAACGACATTTTGAGTGCGCAGAAGGTCTCAAGCATGCGTTTTTTCAACAAAACGCTGTTGTTCCTATACTCTCTTGCAGTCTTGATGTTTGAAAAAGAGCAGCTAACGTTTTCTTTTCAAACAGGGCCGTTGTAACAGCTGTTTGATTCTGCCGTTATGTCTTGATTCTAGTTTCAACCTCAGGTGAAATGGGTCAGCCAGATGCCGGCCCTAAAGTGAGGGAGGGCAGAGAAATTTTTCTGCCTATCGCATGTATGGTGAACACTGTGAGCAGTTATGGAAAATAAGTACGCAAAAGATCTTTTGAAATGAATAATTTAGCAGAAGACCAAAATTGTCAAGAAGGTATGTATGTACTGTTCAATCGTTAATATCCCTCTAACAAGGAAAGGTTGGTTCGTCAAAGTCGCCTTTTAAGATGGTTGCACACCTTAGTGGAGAGCACAAAACGCTGACTCCAAATCTGTCTACCTTATCTGCGGCGCGTTCCTGGACGAGGAGTTATGAGCGTTTGAAGGAGCAAAAATGAGTGTTTTTCTGGGATAAAAACAGTTGCTAAAATTCAGCCGGAGTGCGGATATACCTCACCTGAGAATACTTATTTTATAGAGCGCTAATAAAATTATCACTGGTCCCTTTAAGCGCTATAAATAATGTTACCACTGTTTTTACACTATTTGCACACTCAGTTTTTTCTCCAATAAACGCTCATACTTCTCGTGCAGGAATGCGTCGCAGATAAGGAAGATAGATTTGGAATCAGCATTTCATGCCCTCCAACATGGTATACAAGTCATCGCAAAAGGCCATTTCGACTTATCATCCTTCCCTTGTAACTCCGATGTTTTTTTGCAGATTCTCATAATATAATTTTGTAAGCTGCCTTCAACTTTACGTTATTTATTACTACTCTCGCTTCGCCAGAGGAAATACTGCTTTATAGGGCTACTAGCTGGCTTACCCGGCTCCGCCGTATCCGGACCAAACTTGGCACACATACACTTCGGGCCCCGGCGCGTGTCACAGTCCACTTTTCGTTATCGATCGATGTCGATCTTACCGATTTTTATCGATTTTTTCGCAGAGTTCACCTACAGGGCTAAGAGTTGGCACAGGGGGGAAGTGAGCATGGGGATTCCGAATACAATATTAGTTTTCAAGATCGTCCATTACTTTTATCGATTTTATCGATTTTTTTGCAAAGTTTGAGCTAGGGGGCTGGAATTTGGCACAGGGGTGTTCGAGCATGCTGATCACCCCCCTTGGGGATGATCAGCATGCTCGATTACCCCCCTGTGCCAACTCCCAGCCCCCTAGCTCAAACTTTGCAAAAAAATCGATAAAATCGATAAAAGTAATCGATAATCCTGAAAACCAATATTGTATTCGGAATCCCCATGCTCGATTACCCCCCTGTGCGAACTCCCAGCCCCGTAGCTCAAACTTTGCAAAAAAATCGATAAAATCGATAAAAGTAATCGATAATCCTAAAAACCAATATTGTATTCGGAATCCCCATGCTCGATTACCCCCCTGTGCCAACTCCCAGCCCCGTAGCTCAAACTTTGCAAAAAATCGATAAAATCGATAAAAGTAATCGATAATCCTGAAAACCAATATTGTATTCGGAATCCCCATGCTCGATTACCCCCCCTGTGCCAACTCCCAGCCCCGTAGGTGAACTCAGCAAAAAAATCGATAAAAATCGATAAAATCGATATCGATCGATGACGAAAAGTAGCCTATGACACCCGCCGGGGCCCGTAGTGTATGTGTGCCAAGTTTGGTCCGGATCGGTTCAGAAATGGAATTTTCTATTCGGAACATACGTACACACAGACATACATACAGACAGACAGACAGACAGACAGACATACAGACAAACAGACATTCAGCTTTATATATAAGATTGTTTCAAGTTTTTATGGTAAATCACTAAAAAATTGATAATAGGGTTTTTACTCACACTAACTTCGAAGTTTACTACTCGAACTACAGCGCAGCTTTTCAAATGGTTAATCTAATTTCAAGTACACTGAGAAAATAGTGTCGGATTGTTACCTATACGTTTAACTTGCCGACGCATCACGTTATATAACTCATAGAGTTGGACTCGGCAAATCTGACTAGCGTAGTCTAAATTTTTCTAGGTTGTCTCTTTTTTGAATGCAAAAAAAAGATTCCCAATCTGAGAAATCTTTTTCAAAGTTGCAACCATACTAATGACGTACTGCTTCTTACTACAAATGTAACTTGAAGTTAATTCTACAAAGTGGCACCACGAAATTGGCAAAAGACATTAATACCAAAGAGATAACGATCAAGCAGAATTGTGCCACCCGGTATATGTGCACTTTGCATCAAGTAAAGGACAGAATTATTGCATGAAAAGGGCATGTCTTGCCAAAGTTTGCGTTACATTGATTTTTGTTAGCCAGAGATCGAATTTCTAAATGCCAACTTGGTTCTATGCAGTTGGCCAAGACATGCAAACTTAACAAACCCACGCGAACTCGCGACTTGCATCAAATAAATTGCTGCATCGTAATGACTAGATGCAGGTATTTTTGTTTTCAGTTCATTTACAACATGCTGTAATAATTACCTCATAAAGTCGATATTGCTTTGGAAATGTTTGTAAATAGAGTCTCTCTGCAAATCCTTGATTGGAGCGTTGAAAGAACTGTATCTAAACGAGAGTTTTATTTTGTCAGGATCAACTTAGTGTGAAGCTTGTGAACTCACGAACGGTGCATGTACAAAAGGATGTCTGGTTTTTCATGCTGGACTACTTTCCTCATCACACTAGACATTGATTTCGAACACCATAGCAAAGGACATTCTAAATAGCGAAAAAAAACTTGCAAATATGCATCTCTTTTTTATTCAACACCCACGTGGCCTGGAGAAAAGTCGAAATTTGAGATAACGTCCCTGGAGTATGTTGTGTAGAAGTGAATAGGCTCTGCGCGCAACTGAATCGCCCATCAGCAAAATATTTACGCTGCCGTTTCCTTTCTGAAAAAAGCGCAAAGTAGTCAGGCTATTTCGAAAATCATTGAAACAAGCTTACAACGATTTCAAGGAGGAAAAAACACGCTTTTATTGGGGCGCGCATCGATAAAACTTACAGCAACACATCGATATGTTGAAAAATCTTTGTACCCCGTGTAAAACTGAGTGTCGTTGTCTTTATCGCAGGGAATGTTGTATGTATAATAATAACTTTCTTTTATATTAAACTCAATGGCATATTCAATTTCTGTAATCATGCAGTTTGTATCAGTACAATAAGAGTTTCAGTAAGCCAAAACAAGAGCCTAACTTGATTTGAATGAAGTGGTAATTTTTAGTTGGGGTGCTTGAAGGTAGATATGTCTAGAACTGAAAATGCAAGCGTAGCAGATAATAACACAAATCAGAGACGGCAACATAGTACAATTCAAAAAGTAGTTCTGTAAATGTATTGAATGTGCAACACGCGCGTCTTTCAAATAACTGCTTACCTCGAACGTGTGGTGCATAGCTACTGATATTGTTAAGCTAAGGTATAATGCGATGAGAATACCTAAAAAATGAATAATCTTTTGCTCACTTTCTAATCTCCAGAACATGATAGAAAATGGTCTTTTATGTCCGTGCTTATTTACAAATGTCTGCATTAAATGCTTTCGTATTCATCAAATTCAAACAGCATGAGAGATGATTAGCGACAGGCTTTTAACCATCTCAGAAATCTGTATGGACACAAGTGGATGATCTCGGAATTCAAGAACACCATTCGACTCAGCCTTGCAAGCGCATCTTCTGTTATGCATAAAATTCTCTATTTGGATACGGGAGATGGTCAGATTACGAAAATCTTTCAAGAACTTCGTGAATGGTAATTTACCTAGTTTGCAACGAATAAGCATAATGAGTAATCTATCGTAAGCAAAGATTTGAAGATTCGCGAAATCTCATCGCGAGAGCTTACTGACTGTGCTGCAATAGGTTAACCTCCAAAAGAGGATGAAATGCCGCTTCGAATGACGCCAAAATTCTCAAAAAACCTTTGCTCCATAAAATATGGCGTTTATTCAAAAAAAAAGCATACTATTTTTGAAACGACCTAGTATTTGGTCGCTCCACTCCTTCTCGTTTTTTCAGTCTATCATAAAAACAAGTGACATAGAGGCAGACAGGCTTTTCGAACATTACCCATTGCAGCTTTAATTCCTTCTTCTTTCAAGCAATCATGTTCCTGCGCTGATTACTTTTGTGGCCACTAAAATAATTGTCGAAAATTCGAGCCTATGGTTGGCACATAAGTAATGCAACTTTTTATATAACTTTTGTCTATTTGAACGTGGCGCATTCATTTTTTGGCAATATAAGGGATATATGTAAGCTTCTAATGCACACATTTTTGCCGAATTTTACCATCTTATGTGAGGATTACGGTAGGTTTACGGTACTATGGGAAAAATTTTAGAATGCATCAGATTTTGCTGAAACTTGACCCATGGGGCTTATTTGACATGCTGACCACAAAAATGAGATCCGTTTCGCATGAAATGGCCTCGTTCGTGAGATCAAATGATAAATTTCATTTTAGCGACAAATGAATATGACATTCGTGTTTACCGCATAGGATTACCCTATAGTGCAAAGTTATAGCGAATTCTGACTTTTCGCAGCTTAGTTATTCACAAATTGCCTTCAAAACTTGACGCATTTGACTTGTTAAACTTCTCAGAGGCGCCCCACCTTAATTTGTGTTCAAATTTCATTTCTTTTTCACTGATTTTAATGTGCCAACTTCCAGCTATATGCTGCCTATAATTGCTTTTTCATATGTTTGAATCAGATTTCGTAGGGCTCCATGTTTGCCAAAAAATCGTGAAACCTCGATTTTTAGCAGTTTTCAAAAAATGCTTAGATTTTTTGTAGTACGCTATCAAAAATCAAACGGTTTGCGCAGACTTGCAGCTTACATCACGATCTACATGATGCTACAAAATGAGATTGCTACATAAAATAGAAAAAAAGTTACTGGAAAAGTTGCAAAACTTATGTGCCAACCTAATATTAGGTTGGCACATAAGTTTAAAAAAGATAAAGATAAAGACATAAGTTTTGCAGTTCTCCCATAACTTTCTTCTTACTAAATGTAGCACTCTCATTTTTTGGCATCATGTAGAGTGTTACGTGGGCTGCAAGCCTTTTCAAACAGTTTGATTTATAATAACGTAGTAGAAAAAATTCAAGCATTTTTCGAAAACTCTTGGAAATTGAGTTTCATGGTTTTTTGGGAAGCATGAGGCCGTACAAAACCTGAATCAAACATATCATAAGGAATCAGAGATATCACTAGCTTGAAGTTAACACATTAGAATCAGTGAAAAAAGAAGTGAAATTCAAGGACAAACTAAGATAAGACGCCTTTGGGAAGTAGAACAAGTCAAATGCGTCAAGTTTTGAGGGCAATCTGTCAATGACTAAGCTGCGAAACCACAGAATTCGCTAAAGCTTTGCACAATAGAGTAATCCAATACGGTGAACTAATTTCATATTCATTTGTCGCTAAGATAGCATTCATTTTCTAACCTTACGAAGAGGCTTTCTCATGCGAAACGGGTCTCATTTTTGTGACCAGCATGTCGAATAACCCCATAGGCCAAGTTTCAACAAAATCTGACACAATCTGCAATTTTTCCATTATGCCGTAAACCTACCGTAATCCTTACATAAGATGGCAAAATTCGGCAAAAATGTCCGCATTTGCAGCTTACCTATCCTTATATTCCGGAAATGATTGCGTTACGTTCAAAAAAAACAAAAGTTATATTAAAAGCTGCATTGCAAATATGTTAACCTAATACCATGCCCAACTTTGGCAATTTTCTCAAAACCTTTCGTTTGAATTTTTGAAAAAAAAAACTTTATAACAGTCAGATAACGCAAGCAACGTAACCAATTCACTAATAGTCATCCCAAGGCTCATAAAACATAGAACGGCGCGCAACTAAGGTGTCATTAGATGCAGGTTTTTTACTCTTCCTTACTTGTGTTTTTCGTTCACAAATGGTAAACTCTTTTTCTATAGAATTATCACAATTCTTGATTTAACCCGTCCCAACCTGCCTGTTCGTGATTTGTATATCATCAACCTCACCAACTCTGTCATCCTGATAGCTGACGGCATTGACATTGCCCATCTTCCCAATCGCTTGTATTTAAGTGCCGAATCACTCATCAATGAGTGGCACCTAGATGGCATTTTCCAGGAGCCGCGGCAAAACGCGGCATCCTCTTTCATTTATATGTACTTCTCATTCAGTTTGTTTGTGTACGGGTCAGCTCCACTTTATATACAGGGTGTCCCAAAAAAATGTGCCTACTGCTTGACTGTAAATAACTCTCTTGTAATGAAGTGTTTCGAGAAGCTTTAGGTACCGTTTTATAGAGCGAGGTTGAACTTAGATTTACAGTATGGAGCGAATCATCTATCGCTCTTCATTGCTGTAGGATTACGGTATGAACTTCGACAAGGATTTTAGGCCCTTGGAGGCTATATTCTACCTTGAAACAAGTCCAAACAAGCCAAAAACTGTTATACTACGGTAATGGGAGCCGCTGATTCGAATTTGAAATTTCTATTTTACGATGCTTCTTTTCTAAGTTATCCCCGGTAAATCGTAATAACTCAATTCCCAGCATTTGTCAGAAATGTAATTGCACCGTCAAAAAAGCTGAAAACATTTGTAAAAAGTCGTTAGGTGGAATCAGCATGCGCGGGAACCCAAGTACACGATTTTTCAGATGTTTTGAAAAAAATTTTGATAGGTGGTATACTTCACAATGGTTCCATATGCTAGAAGTTCTTACCGTAATTATACAGTAATGAAGAGAGATGGATGATTCGCTCCATACTGCAAATCTAATTTTAACCTCGCTCTACAAAAGGGCACCTAAAGCTTTTCGAAACACTTTATTACAAGAGAGTTATTCACAGTCAAACAGTAGGCACATTTTTTTGGGACACCCTGTATATACATGGTGTCCCAAAAAAATGTATCGAACGTTTGATCGTTAATATCTCTCTTCTAAAGAAGTCTTTTCCCTTGCTTCAAGTACCAATCTGTAGAGCTGGCTTCAACTTAGATTTGCATTATAGAACGAATCACTCATCTCTCCTCATTACTGTAAGATTACGGTAGAAACATCAAAGAGGATTTTAAGCAATGAAAAGCCATATTTTGCCCCAGAAAGGGAACAAAACAGTTTGAAAACTTTTACATTAAGCTAATTAGAGTTGCTAATTATAACTGTAAAGTTCCCAATTTATTATGATGCTTCATTGAAGAGTTATGCCAGGTAAGAGGTAGCGGCCTTTTTTTCAGTGTTCCTAAAAAGTGCGGTTACACCGTTTAGAAAGCTTCGTAATCTTGTGAATAGTTGAGTATTGTACTCAGCGTCCATAAAAACCCTAATTCACTAATTTTCACATTTTTTTTTGAAAAATTTTGAAACGGCAGATTTTTCACATTAACACCATATGTTTCAAGTTTCTACCGTAATCCTACAGTAACGAAGAGAGATGGGTGATTCGTTCTATAATGCAAACTTAAGTTGAAGCCAGCTCTACAAAACGGTACCTAAGACAAGGCAAAAGACTTCTTGGGAAGAGAGATATTAACGATCAAACGTTCGATACATTTTTTTGGGACACCCTGTATAGCTCAAAAATTGTCTGTTTGGAGGGTATGTGCGTTATAGAAACAAGCACTGCTCAACCGATTCAGCTGAAACTTTGCACACCTATGTTTTCGACCCCTGCGCAGATGATAGGCTACTTTTTGCAGCGATTCGTTGGGTCTTGCTGTCGATTTATTGATTTAATCACATTTTTCTAAGGAACTGAGGGATTATCATGTTTAACCAAGCAGTTTCCCATAGTCATGTAAAGGAGGGCGGTGAAGCTCATTTTCACCTCAGGATCACGAAGATGCGGTTTCGAAGCGGGTCCCAGGGTAAGTCATCCATAACGTATAAGAGGGGGGGGGGCTCGCAGTGTAGGTGACCAATGACCTGGGCTGGACCAGAAGAGCCAACTAGTTAGCTATATAACAAGCTCCAGACTTTTAGAGGTGCCCTACCCGGTCCATTACCGGGTTCGTTTGAATAAACAGTTCCAATCCACTGTCTTCAACTACGAGAATTAGTGACCATCAAATTGGTCACTGATTGTCCCGTAGTGTTTTGCAACAGCCAGTCCTCCTCGTAATTGTCAGCAAGCGTCAATCGATAACGGACTATCTGAAGATCTCTGTGTATCCTTCGTGAATGATCCAGAGAGGTGTGATTAGGACACTTGTAATTTTTCTTGAAAACTATCTGTGCATCCTTCCCTAAGCGATCCAAAGAGCGGAACAAATTCTATGAATGCATATAACCACACAAAACCGTGAAACCATCTGGGTATCGTTTGCTAAGCGATTCAGAGAACGGAACAAATCTTTGTGGGTGCCAATTTTTAAGCAATCTCGTTGATCTCTTGCTATTTCTATTCAAGGACCGGAGATTATTTTTTTGAGATTTTAGAGGAAGGCGACAAGTTACAAGAACTCATTTTGCCAAAGAAGGTCAAAGTTTGATCATGAACTCTTGGCTTAAAAGATTTGACCCAAACCTCATCCGGTGATGATGAAACCACCTTTACCAATTAGCACAGCGTTCAAGCCACTCAGGCATCCTTGTTAATCAGAGATCACCACAGTTGCCTCTCCTCGTCAAAAATAAACACCACCAACGATACGCTCACATGTTTGCTAAATCCCTCTCGATTGTACATCTGAAGATACAACAAAACAACCGCTTTCTGTAGGGAAGAAGTAAACAGAAGTCGGAATAAATCAGCAAAAATGGCAGCAATTCGACTCCTGAAGTCAGTATAAACGCTTGCAAGTCCGTAAAATTCTACAAGTGGAAAACTATATTGAAGAAGAAACAGCTCAATTTTTTGCAAAACGCTGTGAATTTGCAGGAAACACAGCTCAGCGCTGCCACTGCGTACAACAATGCACTCAATGAAAAAAAGGAAAAAGAGAAGTTGATGGTTGAACTTAGCAAGCATCTAAAGTTGGAAGCATTTGAATATGGAAGTGATGAAATTTTAATGGCTAAAGCCAAATGCAATTCAGACAACATGAACTGCGGGAGTTACTATTACTAGAGGTTTTGAATTTAATTTAATGAATTGACTGAAATTGAGGTATACTTTTACACTTACTATTCTTGATAGACTTCTCTCGTTACAGTACTATGTGCGCAGCAATACTTTACTGGCCATGAAGGAGATCAGAAGCATTGAGCCAGGAGCGTCTGCTGGTGCGCCGCAGGGGCATCTATGGGAAGCTGGCCGGGATCCACTATACAAGCACATAGCTAGCTTGACATTTGTATTTTGCTTTTTTGATTACCAAAATATGTTTTGAATCTTGCTTATCTGTGACAGAGAAGAGTAGTGTATGATAACTGTATGATAAGAAATTAATATGAGAAAGAAAAATGATTTGTGCATGACCACAAATGCTGTCGCATCGCAAGATTATGTTACAGCCAAAAGCCTCATTTTTTCTTTCAAATTTTTGAATCAACATTCACGAAAGTGAGTATATTTTCAAAAAAAATTACTTTTGAAAAAGCTATACGTTTATCAAACCTAGTTGTACACCCATGAAAATAATTTTTGGACTGCTTCAATGAAATTTATAAAGCAAAACAGCTTCTGAAAGATACGCCATGCTTACCGACAATAGCGTATAACCTTCACATGCGAAGGTGACCCTTTATAAAGGAGTGAACATTGGCAGCAAAGTCCTGCTGCATTTTCGCGGACTCCAAGTTTACTTATATTCTTCGAAACCAGTTTCTTCACGATCTCTATGAATGCAGATAGGTCGGAAACGTGGAGCAAATGCGCTGAATTCGATCAAGGATCAAAAGCTTGACTTCAAAAGCTGCGCTTGCGTGAGACGAAGTGGCAGAGAATCTCGGGAATGCATTACTACTTATATTACGCGAGTACAGCCATCTACATGGATATGTCAAACTTCATGCGTCGTGCATGCACAAGGTAACAATACTATACAAAGACTATCTGAGTGCGAAGAATGCATGAGTTTAATGCATCACTCACTTGAGTATAGATGGGCTATCAAAATAAAATATTGCTCTTGTTGTTGACAACATCAAGTTATGCTTTCACGAGCAAAGTACTGAATATAAAAAGCATGTACCGGCAGTGCTCAGCATCTGCGAATCTGAACAGTACCGCACTGCCACAATGACCGGCCAATGTACAAGATATAAAACGTAAGATATATCTCCACAGTAGATTATGAAACGATTTGTAAGCAGGAACACATTTGCCTTCAAAAAGATGATGATGGCAGCCATTAAAGTTGCGGATGTTCTGGAATTATTCTGAGAATTGTGCCAATATAGCAAAGTTGTTATAATGTCTCGTAATGATCTCGCAATGATATGGGGCCTACCTTGCTGCAGTATCGGATACAAGCTTTGGGCTGATTGCAGAAAATACCAACAAAGCAATTACCATGACATTGGTTATGAAAGATATAATTCTTTCACGGCTTCGACCTAAAACATTTTCAAAGTGTCGAACCATTTGTGAAACTCATCTCACATGAAAGCATACCATGCTGAGACGAGCGCTCCATCAAAAAATTACTTTATTTATTTTGATCAAAGATTGATAGCGAACCTGGTGTTGTTAGCTGCTCCTCGTCCGAAAAACAACAACATTTTTCCGACTGACTGAGCAATACTTTCATTTCCATTTCGTACGCTATCGATCCACATACGAACTGCCAAATACGGGACAACAACAGCCCATAGGATAACTGGAAAAGTGACATCGATACAGGACGTGTACTTATGAGTGTTATGAGTGTTACTATGTGTGCGATCTTCTTGATGCATACTCAGACAGTCGCTAGGGGGGGGGGCAGGCGGTAGCAGAATTTTGGGGCGTGTCCAAAGCTTCAGCGAGCGGAGTTTCTTTACTGTCGCATGTTCTACCAGCAGGCAGCAATGGAAAATTTCTGCAACCGCACGTCAATCTCTTTCAGTGAGCGCTGATCAAACCGTCAGCAAGCGCTCGGACTCTTTTCAGGCAGTTTCGGGAGTACCCCGAGCAAGGGTGAGACTTTGTGTGGCAGAGGTGTCATCAATGGTTCTTTTACCGACTTTGAGGCACTTTCTCGCAGCAGAAGGTACCTGCGGGTTGTGCGTTCCTCCACAAAGCAACTTGTGGCCCCCAATAATTTTGTATATTCTCACGGAAAGCCGCGAGAATGCGGCCATTGTGCCGCACTAAGGTGATTATCTGAGTAGTTGAGTGCTTCTCTAATTTTAACTTGCAAATTTGAAGGAGAGCCAGCAAATAAAAGGTGATCAAGAATGGACGTCGAAAGTGAGATGCAAGCTGTTTAAGAGGGCATATGACGCTTGATTTGAACATTCACTAATTCGTTTGGACTTGTGAAATTTCTCCAAGGCGGAAGACAGTGCACAAAGGTAAGATCGAAAGCGGCGAATTTGTATGTGGCAAACGGTGAAATGGTTAGCGTGCCAGTGGCAGTCCCAGAAATTTTGTTTGGAAAAAGCTATGAAAGTTATTTTGAGAAGTGGCTTTGACGACGCCTTCTGTAGTTTGTTCCACTTATGACCCCAAATTTTTTAGAAAAAGTCCCACACTGTATTTGAGTCAAATCAGATTTTTTAATTGCTTCTGCTTATAATCTAGATTACTCTAGATGAGCAGAAGCAATCGGTAGAAAAAGGAACAATAAGTCGGAAAATTTCAGCCCTTTCACCGGGGGGTCTCCCATTACGTCCTCCATCTCAGTTTGTCTCTGTATGATTGTCTTGCATATATATTGCAGGCTCGATTCTTCGCCTTGTTTTCCGTTTTGCTGATTGCGAAAAGTACGGGCTCAGGCGCCCTATGCAGTCATTTACTTTTTTGTCGCAAACCCCACAGAAGGTCTACTACAGTCAACTCGGAGTAGGGAGAAACATTCCACTAACTTGCCTTGAAAAGCAAATCAAACAATCTAAAAAACTTTTTCACAGGATTATTCAGAATTGGCTGACTCCAAATATGAAGTTAACTAGTGCCTCGTTCTCGTTATGCCAAACATATCGTTACAAGGTAAGTGAAAGCCATCGTCTGAAAATCCTTACAAATATTCGAGCAGTGTTAAGCAACTCAAAACTACGTTAATGCTAGAAAGAGGAGGAAATTCTGCATCGAATAATGTTTGGACATCTTTTTTCTGAGTGATTCAAAGACAGGTTTGAAAAACGGCACAAACTTTTGGATTGACCAGTACTATACTAAATTTGTGGAAAAAATCACCGCACTCTGGCAGAGTTTGCTGAACTTCGCCTTGCATCGCCGTATTTGGTCTATGACTTATTCATATACAACTACTTTTCCTACACTCGGAGTCATTAGACTCTTCCCCAGTGCACTCACTTAGCGACAGCGGATCTACTATGAAAAAGTTTACTTTGGAATATCTAAGGATCGTTTTGCTGGCAAATAATGGGGGCATAGGTGCCACCTCCATGATCACATTAATTCAGTACTGGACTTATAGTCATTTAGCAATCACATACAGGTTGTATTAGCGTTTACTAATCTAGTCCAAAGGATTAGACCTGAACTGCATGATGATCTATTATCATGGTTAGTTTATGTATAACTGTGTGTTTTGTTCGTTTGTAAGGAACGGCAAGAGCGTATTAAATAAATAAATAAATAAATAAATAAATAAATATTTGCTTCTGAGTAGACGAATTTTGAATCCAAAAACCATTCAACTCAGCTCGACGACTCAGATAATCGCCGGGGGCAGGCGCTCCGCAAACTTGCGCTTTTCTGCGAGCGGTCAGCAAAATTTTGGAGCTGACTAAACCTTCAGCGAGCGGTACTTCCATGTTCTGCCAGCGGGAAGCAGTACAAAGTTTTCTGCAAGCGCTTGCCAAATAATCTTTTCCAGCAAGCGCTGGCCAAAATTTTAGCAGGCGCTCGGTCTCTTTTTAGGCAGTTTCGGGCGTACGCCGAGGTGAGACTCTATATGGCAGAGGTGTCATGATGGTTTAATTACTCGTTTTTAGCAGTGGCGTACCGAGGGGGGGGGGGGGCGGGGAGGGGCGCCCCCCCCCCGAGAATGGGTCGCGAAATTTTTGAAAGTTACTTATATGGGTTATAAAAATGTGCAAGTGACTTTTTTATTTTTGTAAATATTTAAAATAATTTTTAAAAATTTTTAAAAATTCTAATTACCCTTGTAAAAAAAATTTTTTTGGGGCGTGGCTGACGCCACGCCCCCTTTTACAGATTTCAGGGGTCGGGGACCCGCAAAAGTTCTTAGAAGCACCCCAGAATTTTTTCGGAGTGCGTGGCTAATGCCACGCACCTTCTTTAGAAAAAAATTTTTGTCGCGCCTCCCCCCCGAGCCGAAATCCCGGGTACGCCACTGGTTTTTAGTGTACCTTTTTTCGGCGGAAAGTACCTAAGGGTTGTGCAGTTTCACAAATGGCCTTACGGCCCTCAACGTTTTTGCATATTCTCGCGGAAGGTCAACGGGAATGCGGTCACTACGCCGCTACTAATCTAAGAATTATCCCTACACGTTCGCCCAGAAAATGCCTAACATACTTTCAAACATCTGCAGGCGGACCGCAAGAAATTAGCGAACTATATTTCCGGCGCCGCTTGCCTATGGCCGCATATCCTTAGCGATTCTCTAAGAGATGCATTTTCTGATATATAGAAGTGCTTGTTTGGACACTGTAGTCGGTCAAATTTTACGGATCTTTCCAAATTCCTGCTCATTATAAATCACTCAGAATGTTTAATCAATGTGCACTTATGAACCTACCGTAAGCGAAAATATGGAAAGATCCCAGTAATTTGATCGTCTTTTTCACCCAAACAGGCACTTTTAAATATAAAGATGCATCTCATCAAGCTGAGTTGAATGGTGTTTTGTATTCAATATTAGTCCATTCTGATCAAGTTATGGCGATGTAGAAGTTGGCGAACTCCGCCAAAGTGCGGTAATTTTTTTTACAAAATACGAGCGGTAGCAATAATGCGCAGCTTACGATAACGCCGGAGTAAAGCGTGGAAAGAGGAGGAGGGGGGGGGGAGTCGCACAGCACCTCGAAAGGGGAGATCATAAGAGAGGGTTCCGTATTTCATCAATATGCTTGAATATGACAGCTCTATAACAACCCACATGCCACCATGTCCTAACATGTACTCCTCAGCATAACTGCGATAAGGTGAGAATGACTTCTCCATGGTGAAGAGGGTCACAGTGGTCGCAGCACCTCCAGTTTGAAGGGTGTTTCACTTGGTAAAGAAATTATAAATGTCAGTGGGGGGGGGGGGGGGAGGGGAAGCATGGGGTTCTCTCAACACTTTTCCAGGTCAAAGTTTCCAATTTTCAATTCCTTGATATCACTCTTGTCTTTTTTCTAACATGTGAACCAATGTGCTGCTGGATTAGCACACAATTATGTTTCGGACCAGCATCTTGTATTTTCTTACAGCTTTTCTTTTCCCTTTCTTTCATCACCTCGCCTGTTTCTTAGATTACCATTGTGCATGCGAGAACATATATTTCGGAGAGAGTTAGACAGTTTTTAAGCATTTGGAAATTTCTAGACGAAAAACTCGTATTTTTTGTATATGAAAAGCAACGCCAGCATGGAAACCGTTTTCAGAACCATCTTGTCTTGTCCTTCGCTTTCAGAGGATATATAGTTTGCCTAGAGTTTGTTGAAAAAAGTGCCTAGTAAAGGGTGTAGGTAGTGATTTTTGGATATTTACGAATTTTTAGGATAGAAAATCGTAAATTCTGTAGATGAATAACTTGTGTAAGGAAATAGTATCATCGGAGCTATCTCGTTCTCCGCTTTCAGAACATATATAGCATATCTGAGATCCGTCCAAGAAAGTGCGCTTTCCGAGGATTTATAGTTTGCCTGGAGTCTCAAAAAAGTGCCTGGTGAAGGGTGTCCTTCGTGATTTTCGGAGATTTTCGAGTTTTTAACATAAAAAAGTTCATAACTTTTATAGATGAACAGATAATACATGAAAATGGTCACTATTGGAACCGTCTCGTCCTTCGCTTTCAGAAAATATAAACATTGCCTGGGGTGCATCAAAAAAGAGTGCCGGGTGAAGGGTGGGTGAGACTTTTATAATAGGAGTTCTCAAATGGAGGCTTTTTTACTTGTGAACTCCCATTATAAGAGTCTCACCCACCTTTCACCCGGCACTTTTTTCGACGGATCACAGGCAAAGTATACATTTTCTGAAGGCGGAGGACGAGGCCGTTCCAATGGTAACTATCTGGGCGTATAAGATATTCATTTACAAAAGTTATGAAACTTTTTATGTCAAAAGCTCGAAAATCTGTAGCAATCACTAAGCACATCTTTACCAGGCACTTTTTTGAGCGGATCTCAGACTTGCTATTTAGTTTCCGAAAACGAAGGACGAGGCGGTTTCAATGGTCATTGTTTCCTTGTACCAGCTACTCATTTAGAACTTATGAATTTTTTATGTTGACTCGTAACTGTCCAGAATCAGCACACCTTTCACTAGGTACTTCTATGAACGTACTCTAGGCAAATGCCTATAAATCTTCTTCCTCCTTTCCAATACACAAAAAACAATTCTCGTACAAATATCTCCTTTGCTTGACCTTACCCCATTATTAATTTTTTTTCTGGGCTTTTGGTGAAGAGGGTCACTTTGGTCCTGATACAGGGGTGAAGGGGGGAGGGAGGCAAATTTTCACATTATCGCACCTATGCGTTGAACAATGCGAAAACTTCAAAAAACTACAAGTCAGATTTTTAAGCGCACATCGAGCTCAGCACAAAAAACTTACATGCTGAAACGTTTGTTGTTTTGCCTTTAGGTTAACGTAGGCACACTGTGAATGTCCACGGGTTTTGTTTCATTCTTCCTTATGACATTCACTTTCTCTCACTAGTTGGCGAAGGTGGCTTCGGTGAAAACCATACGCGAAATTTTTAGGTTTTGCAGCTTCCCGATTGGTTGAAAGAAGCATGCAAATTAGTAGTTGTTTCGAAGAGCAAATGCGCGCATCCAAAGAATGGCGAAACAAAAAGATAGGAGAATGACTTGGTCAAGTAGGAGAAGGATTGCAAAATCACGTGGTAACAGTTAAAACATAAGAATACAAGAAAAAGAAAAGAAGACTGACATTAAGCATATTGGTATATCGAGAAGTGAGCATGAGGAAAACTGAAAAGAATGTAACAAAAAAAATTTTGATAAAAGAAATTTATAGTAAATCCTATCGAATTTTTCACAACAGCCCTTAACAGCACTTAGTGTCTACTCACTTTTAGCAAAATTTTCATTAGTTCCTACTTCATGGGCTTTTCGCAGCTCTCACTCACTGCGCCTCTTGTGCAAAAATTAGCTCTCAAGTGTATGAATACCAAGCGTCAGCGTGTTTGTAGGTACGATAACACGGTTGAGTCTAGGTTTTGTCTGCGAACAAGAACGCAGTAGCTGTTACCGGTTACAAAGCGAGAAGTTGAAAATTTCAACTCATTGATGTTAATTTCCTCAGTTTTTGCTTTAAGCTTTGCTGATGAGGACTAGTTCCAATTACTTGAAATCCTGAAATTGAAAAAATGTTGCTTTATCACTTTGTTATAGGGTTGCTTCCAATTAGGATGTTTTCACCGTTTTCGTTTTTCGCAGCAATAGCTACAAATTCACGTATCAAGCATTTCCATTGCGCAATTTAGATTGTATTGAGTCTAATTTATCACTTCACATTTTCGCTCCCACCATTTATAATGTAATTTTGCGCATGAGCTATTTGTCAATACAGAATTCGCAAAAATTTAGTTGTGAGTCTAACACTACGTAGGTTTTTGCAAGGTACGCCATTCAACAATTTTTTACTTATACATACATCGGTAGCGTTCTTGGCTGTACGACCATAATCAAGTCTTTGCACTGCGATGGTACGATCAACACTTTCAATAACGTTTGCGTTGGCTACATCTTAAGCGGTAAGGAATATATTCTTCCTCGACAGTTTTTCATTGACTGAAAGGTTTTTGAGTCTAAATCACTTTGGTTATCACACTTTTATTGCTGCAATATGACCAGCTCAAACAATTGCCGGGACAGGCGGTCCGCAGACTCGCGCTTTCTTGCGCGCGGTCAGCGATCAGAATTTTGGGGCGGGCCAAACCTTCGGCAAGCGGTACTTCCTTTACTGTCGCATGTTCTGCCAGCGAGCAGCAATGCAGAATTTTCTGCGAGCGATCGTCAAATAATTCCTTTCAGCGACCGCTGGCCAAATTTCAGGGAGCGCTTTGACTTTTGTTAAGCAGTTTCGGGCCTACGCCAAAGATCTCTCTACATGGCAGAGGTGTGCACAATGGTTCAATTACCTAAGTTTGGAGTGATTTGTCTCAGCGGAATGTACCTACGGGCTGTACGGTCCTTCACCACAGGATCGTGCGGCCCTCAGTGATTTTACATATTCTTGCGGAAAGTCCGCGTGCGGCCACTGTGCCGCAAATAATCTATGAAAAAGCAGCAATTGTTGTCTTGGCATTCGTTTAGAATTTGATCAGAATTCTTCCAGATATCTGCGAGCGGACTGCCAGAAATCAGCGCATTATTTGTTCGTCGCCCGCTTGCCCATAATTCGCATGACCACCTACCCTCGGCGATTATCTGACAAGGAGAGGATACCTAGCCAAAAGCACCAGTCCAGTTTAGGCATATATTCCTTCGCTTGAAACGCTGATTCCAAGTCTATAGTTTCTAGCTGCGGAACGGTCATATAAAGGTGCTATGGAAGGTGTTTTCCTCTAGGGTTGAGGGTCCCTTCAGCATGTCTCGCCTTATCTATGAGCATTACAGAGGAGTACTATCTGGTGACAATTGACATAGTGGGGAGGTCTCAATGGTAGGCAGGAGGTCACAGGTTCGAATCCCCTTGCACTTTTATCGCAATTTAGGCAAAATTAAGCTTCTAAGTGTCTCCGCTTAAAGCCTTGAAGTCTAAAATTTCTGATGTTATCAATGCGAATCGAAGCTAGTTCTGGAGAAACCAAAATGGAAGTACTAGAATCTTCACTCAAACCACTTACCACTGTGCCAGTCGCCACCATTTTGGCTTCGCTCGAAGACAAGGACCGACATGTTGAAGGGCACCTCAACCCTAGAGGAAGTCACCCTTCATAACTCTTAGCAGCTAGAAACTGTTAGGTTGTGCCGAAAGTTCGTTCGCACCATTTTCAAAAATTCATAACTGTTTAAATTCTTGACGAATTTGTACGATCAGAATTGTGCGTAAGAGAGAAACTCATGTTCTTTGCAATGGTACCTGAACTGTTCGTTACTATTTACAAACGAAGGAGATAGAAGCTCAAAACCAAAATCACTCAAAATTTGAATTTTTGGGTAGGGTCATAAAAAATCGAAAACTTGCAACAAAAATTGGAGCAGTCAGTATTGTAGTTTCTTTAACCAGCTCTTTCCAACAGTGCAAAGTTTGCGCCGATTGAGCGTTTCTATGAAAAGTAATGATATTCGAGCAAGCAATACAAAAGGGCAAATTTGATTTATTTTGGCATTTTTCAGAGAAATCATAACTTTTGATAGAGACGCTCATCAGCGCAAACTTTGCACTGTTAGAAAGAGCTGGTGAGAGAACCTACAATACCGACTGCTCCGATTTTTGTTTCAAGTTTCCGATTCTTTATGACCCTACACGAAAAATTCAAACTTTGAGTGATTTTGGTTTTGAGCCTCTATCTCCTTCATTTGTGAACCTTTACGAACAATTCAGGTACAGATGCAAAGAGCATGAGGCCCTCTCTTACACAAAATTTTGGTCGTACAAATTCGTCAAAAATTTTAGTTATGAATTTTTGAAAATGGTGCGAACGAACTTTAGGCACAAAATAATATAAATTTGAAATCAGTCTTTCAAGCGTTCTAAGATGATATATGCTCCACATGGATTGGTGCTTTAGGTATCCTCTCCTTGTGAGAAATGGTGCGCTAAGTTCGTGTACAATTTGCTAACTATTTTTTCGTATTTTTCGCACGTCATGTGTGTTAGCACGTTTCGAAGCGGTGCTGCACATGGTGCAGCGCGCTGCTTGGAAGAATCATTTTGACGTTTGCACGAAGTTTTTTTTTTTGCTCAAGCTCATCAAGTCAAAGGCCTAAGCTTCTACTTCTGAAATGACTCTGTGGAGTTGTGCCGCCGATATTTGTTCAAGAGATTTTAGGTCAAATAGAACAACGATTGCAACGAGGTGCGGCAACGCAACGACGCGTGCAACGTCGCAACATATCTTTGCTTTGAAATCAAAGAGAAAAACTGTATTTTCAATACTGATGTGTATCGTGTACAATATAGGTACTTTTGATACTATTAGAAACTGAGTACTTGTTCCTATCTTTTAGGAAAGCACAGAATTCCTTTACAAGCGACAAAAATCAAACACTTTCAATCCACTCAGAACTTTGGGTATGGAACTTATCTGAAAAGCTGATTATAGATGTAGCACACAGTCTACGAAATAAGGCCCTTTGTTGGCTAATGGCTGAAAGTGCACTCTTTTTCGCCGCGCGCGATTTCGCGGTCCGAAACGTGTTGAATAAAAAAACTATTTCCATGTGTTTGTACAATAGGTTGACAAATCAAGCTTGCAAAATCTGAAATCTCTATAGATGAAGCAATGCCAGCGCCCAAAAGATCATTGGAGCCGTTTGGTCCTGCTTAGAAAACTACCATTTGATTCAACTGGCTTGGCATCGGCAAAGGTGGGGCTTCGTGACCTAATTAAGGCTAGGTAATGATCAGAGAGCACGCGCGAGAGAGACGCAGGTGCGTCGCGGGCGCGAGCGGCCTCAATTAGATCACAAAACCCCGCCCTAATGGTGCCAAGCCAGTTGAATCAAAGGTTATATAGTTCATCAACTTTCCATTGTTTGAAATGCTTGGTGGAGGGGTGCGTCCGATTTTCGTTTACATTAAGGACTAAAAAAACTGTGACTTTTGTAAGAGCGAATGGAACAACGTGAAAAGTATTCCTAGGATCATTAAAACTGCCTTGTCCTTCACTTTCGAGGAATACATAAGCTTTGAAGAAGGGCTGTCCTGGAAAATCTATAGCGATAGAGTTTTGATTGTACCATTCCTGCCAAAATCGAGCAATAAGTAGTACTTTTTCCCACAAATTAGCATTTTGAACCTTATTTTAGGGACCTTATTTCGGAATTAACAAATTGCTTTTCTAATAATGCCACATTTGTAATCGCATTTGACCCATAGTGAATCAAAGGGTAGTTTTAACCTCTGCAGTCTGCATCTAACTTACATTGGGTGCCGCGGATAGCTGGAAACTGATAGATGCTGCTCCAAGGGAGAAGAATAGCAGTAGACGAGTGCCGTGATTGCAATACGATGCTATGCCCATAATTAGAGGTGCAATGACATAGTACTGTAATTCCACTCCAAGAGACCATGTGTGAACAAAGAAACGATACGTCGACAACTGTAATTCTCAATGTTACAGCATGATGTACATAACTCTGGCTTATGGCGTACCTGTTCCCAATATCCCAACTTCTGAAAAATTGGCTGCAAGTTAGTGGAGTATGTGCACACCCAAGCAAGATCTTCAAGAATCTGTTTGCGATCAGACGAAAGGACGTAGAAATATCCATCTGCGAATATTTATATTAGATTGCTTTCTTTGCTTATGGAATGACAACAGGAAGCAGCAGATTTGTTATAGACAGGGTGTTAGAAAATGCTCTGAATGCTTGATGGATTACTCTGTTGTCCCAACAATTTCGTGGACATTCAGACACTGTACAGTGCTGGCGAAACTTTGCAGCCACTCTGAAAAATGCTATGACTGACTTCGCAATTTACATAATGAACCCAGCTCATAGTTTTATGTGCAAATTACTCCAATTTGACGCAAACCAGAGTTTGTTTCAGGAAATTGACCAATGTTTGTGAAAGTTCCTAAACTTCTAATACGTGCTATGAATGTATCCTTAATTGCTGGAATGTGCTTGACAATCAGAAATTGGAAAAATTGTTAGATTTTGAACAAGTAAACTTGCTTTCATAGAGAAGTTTTTCCAATGAGGAAGTCAATTAGTTTGCCGGAATGTGCTCGACAATCAGCTCCACAATATCACAAGAAAGGAGACTCTATGAATGAAATTGGTTTGACCGCAAGGTTTCCAAGAAAATCAGGAAAAATCGTTTTTTTGCGGACAAATAATTAACATATACATGCTCCTATAAAAAAATACTAATCAGACGTTCGAAGTTAACCAGATTGTATGACAGAAAAGCATTACTTTGCTTAAAGTCAACTTGACTGTCACTTCTACTCAAATTGGCGCACTTTGCAGCTCGGAAATTTGGTGCAGCGGTCCGCAGGAAACTCAAAGTCAATGACAAGATTGTTTTTCACAAAGGGGAATGTTAGAAGCTATCAGAGTTCCACGGAAAAGATGGAGCCCTTTTAGCCATATTGAAGCGAGATGATTTGCGCCCTAACAATTTATGTTGGTACACAGCAGTTTTTTTTGAATGCAAAAAATCGCGCATGCTTTCCTATGGCAAACAGCTCCATCTTTTCTTTGAAACTTTGATAGCTTCGTCCAAATGTTCACCTTTGCAAATACTATCTTGTCATTGGGTTTGAGTTTCCTGCGGACCGCTGCGCCAAATTTCCGAGCTGCAAAATGCGCCGAAACTGAGTAGAAACGACAGTCAAGTCGAAATTCAGCCGAGTATTGCTTTTTCTGTCACACAAACTAATTGAATTCAAACGTCTAATTGAAAAAACTTTTCTATGAAAGCAAGTTTACTTGTTTAAAACTCAACAATTTTCCCAACTTCTGATTGTCAAGCACATTCCAGAAATTACGGATACATTCGTAGCACGAGTATCAAAAGTTTATGAACTTTCACAAATTAACAAAAAGTGGCTGCAAGTTTTGTCTCCTCATTTTTGCCAATCTCCTAAAATCACCTTCTATGTGCTTTAAATTGCAAAATATTCCGATACTCTGCGAAGTACAGTACCCACACTCATTATTCGACAGAAAACGCAAACGACCCGCTTTTTTTCGTTTTTTCTTCATAACTTCCTCAAAATGCATAAATTATGAATCCGAAGAAAGTGTATGATGTTCAGCTCGTCAAGGTGAAACTTCTAATATACTACACTATACCGCCATTTCGTTTTTAGTCTGCTTGCTTTTTGTGTGAGGACGGGTTTTCGTAGGTGTAATTCAGCGCAGAACATACTTGGAAAACTCTAGTAAACATAATTCGGTAGAACTGTTCCGGTAGATTATCGCGCGCCAGCGCTCTGTCCGAGATCTCTTTTCCAGGGAGAAAAATAGGCCGCTGAATTTTGGGAAAAGCAATGTTTTCCAAGTTCTAATTACCGTAGCCCCACAGTGAGACGCTAATTTGCAACCAGGCGTGTTTTTCGTGATCAGCAGGCTAGGTAATTTCTATGCAAGTTTTTGGAAAAATTCGGATTCCTTGGTTTTTTCTCGCTCTAAGCACTGAAGCTCGCCGACGAGTTTCGGCTAATATATTGATGATCTTAGATTGACCGGAAACTTTGCCCATAAAAGTTTTCGAACCCACTGTTTGTAAAGGTACTGCTCTTTGCGCATGAATTTCATTTAGCAGGGCTATGGTGAGAGGAATGCTGCGATGCTACGCAAGTCCCCAAATTTGCCTACCCTTTTCGCATATATATTAGACAATTTACCTGCTCCTTTTTGTAATTTGAAGCCGCTAGGGACGATGCTGTCAGAGGACGTCTAAGCTGGGCCCTTATCTGTTGATCGCCGAACTGTGAATTTACGAAGTCGCGTCCTCATGAGAGATCGCATATTTTGGCAAAATATCGCCGAATGGTTACGGAACACACTGACTGCAGATATCACGTTTATATACATATGTGAATAGATAATTCTAATACAGCATACTTGCTTACCTCGTGTGCCAATCCCTACACCTGTAGCTCAAAGTTTGCAAAAAATCGATAAAGGCGGTAAAGGTAATTGAATCCGAAAACTAATATTGTATCCGTAATCAGCGCCCTCACTTACCCACTTATACCTATTCCCAACCCAGTATAGTCGTCCACCCTCCACTAGACACCTAGTGGCCAGATTCGAATCTGAACTATAGCACGCCGGCTGCGGCAGAGCGCGGCACCGTCAAATGCATTCCAAGCTAATGCAGTTTTCTTTTGTGTTTTATTGTCTTTGCATAGTGATTTTTTTGTTTTAATGATGATTGTAATCAGAATTGAAGTTTTTTGTTTCTCAGCGATGTTTCATACTGCTATGCTCGTTTTTTACTCTGGTTTCAGGAAAGGTGGCAAAACGATGCACATGGAGAATTTTTGACACGAAGTGTTCAATGAAGCAGCACTTCAAAACCTACCGAGAAAAATCTCACCACTTTCCAAACTTAGTCGTTTTTCCAAACTCAACTTGAAATCGTAGTTAGCAGCGAGCATGGTAGCACGATTCATCGCTCAAATTGAAGCAACGATTTCAATACGGATTGAGAAAACTGTCAGCATATAAAAACTGTTTTGAAACGTCGTGAAAACACAAAACTTTCAGACATTCACTTGCGTTTAGTATGGTACAGGTAGATAATAACAGTAACAGTGGGATTCCAAAATCTGTCAATCTCATCAACTGACGCTCTCATCCTCATCTCATTCCACGACTCTGAACTCCTCTCAACGTTGATGAAGGAAAAATTTGGTAGATAAGACGGACTACATAAAAAAAGTAGGAGGACGACCAGCCTTGAATCCACATCTAGTGAATGACCCACTCTTTTACCTCCACTTAGTGATGAAAGGTTGCAGGGGGACGCCTACGATTTTTATGATGAGATTAACAGATTGGAATCCCACTGTTACTGTTATTATCTATCTGTACCATACTAAACGCAAGTGAATGTTTGTTTGTCATGTGTCTGTGCGTATGTTCCCAACAGAATTTCACCTCTGAACCAATGCAGACCAAACTCTGCACACAACTTAGAAGTCGAGCTGCTCTCGTAGGCTGCGTTCATACTGATCCCGAAGTCCGAAGACAGTTCCAGCACAGCGCTCGAACTGGGCGCTGTGCTGGAACTGTTCCCGGACTTCAGGATCACTATGAACGCAGCCGTAGACTACATTTCATCATCGGTCGATAACCATTTATCGATTTTTTGGAAACTTGAGCTATAGCCGTCCTCTCCCCACTAGGCACTATACTTAAGTAAATTCAAATTTTTTCATCGAATGAATGAATATTGAAAAAGTTCGAAACTGAAAAATCTCGAATAAACGAATCTTACGTATAAAGCTGAATGTGTGTGTATGTATGTATCAGTGGCGGTCGCAGGATTTCGGACCGGGGGGGGGGGGCGACAAAAATTTTTTTCAGATTCAGATTTAGGGTAATAACTGATTTTCCAGTGTTGGTCAGAAATGTGAATATGCCAACAAGAAAGCTCGAAAAACTGGTGGAAAATTATGTAGTGGAATCAGCAAGCCTGAAAACCTTTCTACACAAATTCTTAGATTTTTTTGAAATTATTTCTTCAAAAGGCTTATTCCGCAGTGACCTTGTATGCTGAAAGCTCCTACAATGATCCTACAGTAAGGATAAGTGATTGGTAATTCGCTCCATACTGTAAATGTAAGTTTATCCTCGCTCTACAGAATGGTACCTCAAACTTGGCAAAAGACATGAAAGCAAGAGAGTTTTCAACGATCAAACAGTGTGCACATCTTTTTGGGACACTCTGTATATGCGAAAAGGGTAGGCAAATTTGGGGACTTGCGTAGCATCGCAGCATTCCTCTCACCATAGCCCTGCTAAATGAAATTCATGCGCAAAGAGCAGTACCTTTACAAACAGTGGGTTCGAAAACTTTTATGGGCAAAGTTTCCGGTCAATCTAAGATCATCAATATATTAGCCGAAACCCGTCGGCGAGCTTCAGTGCTTAGAGCGAGAAAAAACCAAGGAATCGGAATTTTTCGAAAAACTTGCATAGAAATTACCTGGCCTGCTGATCACGAAAAACACGCCTGGTTGCAAATTAGCGTCTTACTGTGGGGCTACGGTAATTAGAACTTGGAAAACATTGTTTTTCCCAAAATTCAGCGGCCTATTTTTCTCCCTGGAAAAGAGATCTCGGACAGAGCGCTGGCGCGCGATAATCTACCGGAACAGTTCTACCGAATTATGTTTACTAAAGTTTTCCAAGTATGTTCTGCGCTGAACACCTACGAAAACCCGTCCTCACACAAAAAGCAAGCAGACTAAAAACGAAATGGCAGTATAGTTTAGTACCAGCCGCTTTCTGCCGCTACGCGACAGATTCGGCTGTTACTCGGCAGCTTCGCTGCCTCGTACACTTTTCATTTTAATGTATACCAATGTAAGATCAAGTCATTTGATTGCCTGTTCGTACGAACTACTTCTGTTTATGACCTGTTTAGATCGACAGACCGAAGACATAATTTTGTACCTGCAAGTTTATTGAATCAACATCATAAGCAACAAATAGTATGCAATTAACAACAACATAGAATGGCTGCAACAGTGACTACACCAAAAAAGAAGATGCCAACAACAACGATAAGTACAACAGAAAAGGCC